TGCTGTTTGCTGCTGGAGCTCCCCGTGCAGTGGGGGTGCTGTTTGCTGCTGGAGCTCCCCGTGCAGTGGGGGTGCTGTTTGCTGCTGGAGCTCCCCGTGCAGTGGGGGTGCTGTTTGCTGCTGGAGCTGTCTGTGCAGTGGGGGTGCTGTTTGCTGCTGGAGCTCCCCGTGCAGTGGGGTGCTGTTTGCTGCTGGAGCTCCCTGTGCAGTGGGGTGCTGTTTGCTGCTGGTGCTCCCCGTGCAGTGGGGGTGCTGTTTGCTGCTGGAGCTGCCTGCCAGGAGTGGTGACTTTCCCTCCTGCACCTCTCCATTTGGGTCTGCGTCTCCTCTGTTCTAAAACATACTCTTCTCTGAGAAACCCCTTTTGTTGATGGTGTTGCCTCCTGTGCTCTCATGGGTACTGGATGCCACTGGGGGCCTTCACTGCGTCCTGTGCCCTTGTGGGTACTGGATGCTATCGGGGCATCTTCACTTGCAACCTTGGTCCCATGTAGCAGCGGAGCTTCCTGTTCTTTCCCAGCTCAGTGTGGCCTCAGCCCTTGGCCACAGGCGGGGGATACACGGCTGAGGTCACCTTCAGCTTCTCCTCTCAGCCTTCCATGCCCCTCCCTAGCGCTGGCTGCCCCTCCCTGCATTCTCCGGCCTCTGTGCTCCATCAGGTGGGGTCATGCCGGGTCGTCCTCTTCCTTCTCTAACCTCTCTTCTCTCTCCCGTCCCATCTCCCACAACTTAAAAAAACCCACTCACCTCTGTCCTCATTACTGGGAACAGAAAACAGCAAATGCCCCGCCCCATCAGAGGGAGGTAAAGCCAGCTGGAGAGCTGGGTGAGGGTGGTCTCACAGAAAGAATGGGATGTGCCCCTGCTCTGCGTGCCCGCACCTGGGGAGCTTCCCCTCCCTGCCTTGGCTCCTTCTCTCCTCCCGTACCCCGAGCTGTGGATCGTCTGAACAACAGTCCAGGACTCTCTCTCTCCACTTTCCCGTGAGCTCTATGATTCACACAGAGAGCCTGGCATTCTTCCAGAGCCACCCTGCAATGCCGGTGACCTTCTAATATACACTGTCTTCCTAACTGCACTGCGTGCTTCAGAAAAGCATCATGTAAAATGGCAAATATGAAACATGCAGAGAATACCGAGAACCCTGTGCAGACGTCACCTGTGAAACACACGGAGAATACTGAGAACCCTCTGCAGACGTCACCTGTGAAACACACGGAGAGTACTGAGAACCCCGTGCAGGCGTCACCTGTGAGACACACGGAGAGTACTGAGAACCCCGTGCAGGC